GGCCATCGAAAGTGAGTACCCCCAAGGTCGCGCGTTCTCGACCTCGGGTGCATTTAGGGTATATTTAGTGTATCTATTCGAGTAAGACGTCTACTTGTGTGCATGCGATACTTGTGTGCACGCACTCAATCGGGCCCGTGTCCCTCCCTTTCTCCCCTGCCTTCCCTGCCTTTTCCAGACGAGGATTTACCCCTCTCGAACGAATCCATCTTCCGCAATTTGAACGACATTTTCATGGCGGGCTCCGACACCACCGCCACCACCATCAGCGCCTCTCTCTACGAGGTAAGACCTTCTAGAGGGATGCTTTCCGCTCCGAAGGCGCATGGGGCACCGGGAAGCCCGGTGGATAGAAGGAGGCAGGAGGAACGTCATGTGTTCGATTCTGGACGGGATTTAAAGAGAGTAAGAGGAAGGAGAGACTTTATTGTTGGGGGGTAGGAATTGTGGTGTGTCGGTGGCCACCGCATTCGCAGGTTGCTTCTTGGCTTCAGGCATGACGAGAAAGAGAGGAGAGGGAGGAAAAGCGGGCATGAGACACGCAATGGGCAGCGCAACGCTAGAATTCATAGACCGTATTCTTTGTGTGAAAGAGATTCATTGCATGGCCAGGGCACTCGGTCTGCCGGAGGGGGAGAGGCTGGCTGTTGGGGTTAGGATGAAAGTCACCCTGGTAGGGGGAAAAAGCCGGCGCCCCCTTGGCTCCCTCCGTCGTCCTGGTCTAAATTCTGTCATCGGTTCTTCCTATCCCGATGTCACCCTCAGGCTCTTTCCTATATATATAAGCCTTTATATTCCCATTCAGAATCTCCTCACCCTTCAAGTCATTCTTTCCGGCTGACCTCCTCGTCTTCCTCCCACCTTTCTCTGTCCCCTCTTTCCTGCCCCGCCCTGGATCACTTCCTAGATTGTTCGACGTCCCGACGTCAAGGCGAGGGTCTTGGCCGAGCTTGAGAGCTTGGACCTGAGCGATCCACAGGCCATGAGCCCGTCGCAGCTGGCACAAAGGTAATGGTCGATTTTTCCTCCACGTGTTCTTACCCCTTGCTCTTCCGCACTCATCTCTGTCTGATTCTTCGTTCATTTCACACCGTCCCTCCCTCCCTCCCTCCCTCCTTCCCACCCTCAAGGCTGCCCTTCTTGGACATGTGCATCAAAGAGACCCTCCGCCTCTTCCCCGTGGCTGTCAATCTGTCCCGTGTCGCCGCGCGGGACACCGTCCTGGGCGGTTTTCACATCCCCAAGGGTATGCCTGACGTCGATCTTCAACGTCGCTCCCTCGCGTCTCTTCTCTCTTTATTCTTCCCTCTGCGTTTCTTTCCATTGGTGCGGGCGCCCGCCCTTTTCTTCCTTCTAATCCTTTTCTCTATTCCAATGTCTACGACAGGCGCCACCGTCGCGCCCTGTATCCGACTCCTCCACTTGGACACTGCCACCTGGGGGCCTGACGCCGCCGAATTCCGGTGCGTTTCACTTGTTCTTAGGAGAAGGATAGTCCGTCTTGAGCCTGTACTCATGTTCTATCCCTCTGCCCCCACCAATTTTTGATGCGCATCTCTCCCTGCTTGGTTGCATTCTTTTGTCTGAGTCGCTCCCTCTCTTCCCTGCCTGCGTCTTTCTTTTTTCCCGGTGCTTCTTCTCCTAATCCACTCGCATTTCCCTCTTTACGCACCATCCATCTCTGCCTTTGTCGGCCTGTTTACCCTCCCCAGTCCGGAGCGGTGGGCGAGTGAGAATTTGGAAGGCGGTCTGCCCAAAGGTGTCCCTCAGGGCGCTTACCTAGTAAGTCCATAGATCGATTATACAATTGAAACCTTAATACAAGGCTACCACCATCCCGTTTCTCTTGGACTTCGGTCGTTTTCCCAAGAAATCCCTCAACCCCACCTCCTCCCTTCCTCCTTTCCTCCCCCCCTTCCTTCCTCCCTCCCGTCCTTCCTGCCTCAGCCCTTTGGCGCTGGTCCCCGCGTATGCTTAGGCCTTCGATTTGCCTTGCTGGAAGCCATGACGGTCAGCGTCACCCTCCTTAAAAAACTGGATCTGGAGGTTGTAGACCCTAAGTGAGTGCGAGGAGGGATGGATGGGATAAGATGGGGGAAGGAGGGAATGACATTTGACCCAACGCCTTGTTTGAAAACGAGAAAGGGACCGAATATATTTGCATTTTCGACGAGCAACATCTTGTATATTTAAGAGGAAGGAGACGAAAAACTCTAAAATCGAGAGAGTGGGTGACAAAGATGAGATCCTTGCTCTGTATAGTTCAAGTCAAGATTGAGTCGAGGTCAGGCATTCCACCCGTGTAGTCATCTATCTTGCCATCTTGTCATCGCACTTAAAAGCCAGTCTCTCTTTCCACCCTTTTTCCGCCCTCCCCTTTGTTTTTTTCGCGGCGCCAATCATCATGGGTAGTCGCGATTTGGACGTGTATTACCCCGCAGCCATGTCCTTTCGCGACGGGGTGCAGTTGCGGATTGGAGGCCTTCGATGATCGACGAGAGGAAAAGTACCGGCCCATACAGAGCCAAGCATTTGTTGTATTTGCTTGCATATCATATAAGAGGGAGTGGATCATTGGAGTTGCAGGCCTCATTTTTGGACGTGAAAGAGTTTGATAATGTTGAAAATATTTTCCCGATTGTTGGTCAATATACGCAGTTGAATTAAGCAGTTGATAAGCTGAGGGACCCCGGTAATCATGAAGGAAGATTGCAGATCAGTTGTTTAGATGCTTTCTAAACAGAAAATGTAAAAAGAATATGCTTCACATGGTTGTGTGCGCGTAACCCGCTTTGTAACGCTTTCTTCAAACTCTCCAACGGAATTTTGTTGACTTATAGGATCCCAACAAGGCGATCTGACCCTTTCTTTGTTAGAGAGTGGATTTGATTTTGGTTGAAGATGTGAAGGAATTCTAAAACTTGCAAGTGGAGCAGCTTGCCGGAGTTTTGACTTGACGTGGCTACGCCATGGGCCCCAACGTTGGGCGAAGCTACATGTCAGCATCTAAGCTAGGTGATAATGGCCAGCGAAATGGCTTCAATCAGATACTTCGGACATCTTCGCCACAAAATCTCTCTTCTTTTTTGCAGAGGAGCAAACGAGAAAAGGTTCGGCTTAGGTAAAATGTCAAATCTCATGTCTCTCTTAGGAAGACCAAAAGTGTTCTATACATTCCCGCTCCGCTCAGGCTTCGAAAAGTGAAGGGGGAAAAAAATTGTTGGAAAAGTGCAGAATGCTGTTACAAGTATCCTTGAGCCACCTTGAAGCTTATGATGAAAAAGCTGACTTTGCATCCGCCTCGACACAGCACCACGCACAAAGTTCCTTGGGAGTCGTAAGTGTACGGGACTCGAAATCTCCGGGTTTTGGCGAAGCTTCAAACTTCAATGCTGCTACCAAATAAGCCCGAGTGATACCAATGGGGTGAGATGCAGTGGCCTCTTGGACAGTTTTGAAGACCTTTGATCTTCAATTTGGAAAGCTAAGACATTAAATGCACAGCATGGATGAAATGAAGCACGGCTTTCTCGATAAACTGTCTAAAATCGCGCTTCTCCCGGCTAGTGTGAGCTACCTTAAGGTAGCTTAGGGTAATACCTTTGTTTCTCAAGATCCACCCAGACGAGATATCGAAGTACACACCTTGCTCAAAAAGGTGCTGAAGTATAGCAAAGGTCGATACAGAGCTGTTTTATGTAAGATATGATGCTGCTTTGATCTGTGTTACGCTACGAAAGACCTACTCTCATACCTATAAAATCATGTCTTCACACGTGCGGTGGCAATACACTGTGAGTAAACGGCCGAGGATAAGCCGAAGTGCATGCATGGCTTTGTGAAATATTCATCACTTTGGTTGCATGTTATTACTTCCTATTTGTAGCCGACTTATCTTTGATTCAGTCTGTTTCTTTTCTCCAAAACGACATTGCCTCTGCACCTGTGAGGCATCCATGATCCTTACAAGCCCCCCCACTCTCTATTGGCAGGGCTTTTATTGCTTGTCATGGGCCCCTTGGGACGGAATCGAGCCGATCTTACCGGCTCCACAAACAATATGTCCAAGTTCAGGTACCATAAAGGGGTAGATAAGACGAAGGGGGAATGGTGTGACATAGAATTTAGTGGAAAGGGTACAATTGAATCAAACCAAAACCTATGGATGCTATTGCCATCGAATTTATTGCCCGTCGGTGACGAATGCATGTACTTCTCACACACATGCCCTTGGATCACGCAGAAACGATGCTAGGATGCAGGCCCTCGCAAAGGCTGTACAAAGGGGGGATCGGGCAGGCATGAAAGAGGTGATGAAAAGAAATTATATAAATATACACGGGAAATATGGGGGAATATCCTAAGGAAGGCGGGAATGCAACAAGTGCCTTTCAATCCTCCGTATCAGGAGCTCAGTATTCACGAAGTTTTCTCTCGGACTCCCTCAGATCATCAGCAACCGCAGTGAGAATAGTAAAATGCACCGAAATTTGCGTGGAAAGGATGCTGTTTGGGACGAGCTTAAAGAAGATGTGGTATACAAGGTAGACTAGAAGCATCAGTGGGAGGGACGGGTGCCCGCATGGCTGTGTATGAGAAGATTCAAGTCTAACACTTCAGTGAAAGAGATTCCAGTATTTTGCATGCATAATGACAACACATGCAGACTTCAGCGTTAAATCTGTATGCACCCATCTTGATGAAGCCCATGAGCCGCGCCCTCGCTCCCCTTGTTACTCAGGTCACAGCGCAGGGAGAAACGCTGGCGGCAAAGATCTTCGACTGCTTCCCCTTCCACGAAGCCTGTGGAAACATCATTGCGACCAGTCTCTTGGGTCCGGTACGTCCTAGTCCTCCTTCTTCCTCTCCCCCCCACATCTCCCCTTCCTCCTCGCCTGCTCCTTGTCGTCCCGTCTCCGTTTCCATCACCATTTTTCTCCGCCCTTGATCACAGCTATTCCACTTACCCTAACCCCTTACCTCCTTCCTTTTCTTTCCTTTTTCATCTTCCTCCCAGGGCGGAGGCGGCCCTTTTTACGTCCGCACGCTGGACATAGGTCGTAGCGTGGACGAGAAACACTACATCATTCTTATGGAATACCTAAAGCACGACGCCGAGGTGGGTGGGGACCCTTTCCCTCCCTCTTCCCTATGTTAGGGTTAGGGCTAGGATTAGGGTTAGGGTTACCGCGACCACAATCTTCATCCTTTTAATGCCCCTTTCCTCCTCGTCCACACTGTGCCTGAGATATCCTCCTCCCCTCCACCATTATTCCTTCTGTCCCTTTCCTCCCCCTTCCTCCCCTCTTTCCTATCCCCTTCCGCTCCTTTCATTCTTTCAACACTCCAACCGACCTTCCGTCTTCTCCCCCCCACCGTCCCTCTCTCGACTGATACAGGTGATCGATCTTGACGAGCCCTCAAATCTCTTCACTCTTCTTTATCAGGTCGTTTATTGCCCCCCTTGTTTCCTCTCCTCCCCCCCAGTTTTTTCTTTCTCTGTCTTTCCTTGCTTTCTGTCTTCTCCCCGCTTTCCGCGCCCCGTTTTTTTCTTTTTCTGAGCATAGATGCCTCCTTTTGGATCAACCTTCCCTCCCTTTCTCCCTCTGTTCTTCCCTTCTTCCCTCCCAATGTCTCTCAGGTCGCCTACGGTGTTGAGCAGCTCCGACGCGCGGCCCATCTGCAACATTTTGACCTTCGGTAAGGATATTATCTCTTCCTCGTGTCGCTCT